GGAGAGCTGTTGAAAATTCAGGAGACTCTATAGCTTCAGGGCTAGAAGTGATCTCAAAAGTCCATAATCTAGAAATCCTCTTGATAAATTCCAGCTAAGTGTTTACTAGTCTCTGTGTGCTGGGATGCTTCCTGTGATTGGGTACTCATTATATCCAAAAAGCATTGCTTGCTGCCCTCCCCCAGCAAACATACTACTCCTTCTTTAGTTAGCTTATAGGTCTTCCTGTTTCTTGCAGCCTGGACCCACTGGTCATAGGTCTGCTTTCCAATGTCCCACAGTAACTCAAGTCATCCTATCTCCAGGTCAGCAATCAGCCCTCCCCTACCCATCTTCCACTGCTTTTTTCTTCAGTTTGTCTCTGGGCAGTTTTGAGCACACCTCCTGGGCTGCTCTTTTAGACATCTTTCAAGAATGATTGTCCCAGGGATAAACACAGGGTCAGAAAAGTCTCAGCCATGCATAACTGGCACGTAGGATAGCATATGCCTGTAAAGTACAAAGAAGCCGAAGTGGGAACACGACTGTACTAGGTCTTTCTTCCTTATTCTCCAAGGAATCTTTGGCTAATCTCTTAATTTTTGGACAGCTTACACAGTGTACCCTCCTTATATGTCTAGACACTAAAATTATTAAAATTAAGAAAATTTGCCAAGTGGTGACAGTACACGCCTTTAATCCCAGCACTTGGAAGGCAGAGGCAGGTGGATCTCTGTGAGTTCGAGACCAGCCTGGTCTACAGAGTGAGTTCCAGTACAGCCAGAGCTACAGAGAAACCTTGTCTCAAAAAAAAAAAAAAAAAAAAAAAATCCTAAGAAAACTCCGCCAAGAATCCCAAGTCTTAAATTTTCCTAGGCTGATTGACATTTTGCCTGCCAGTACCCAGGCTGACTGTTGGACTTACCAGCTCTGCCAGCAGAGAAGGTAATAGGAACTGGCAGTGCAGACAGAGTTGCTCCCTACCCCTTTCCGCTGTACCGCATATACCTTTAATACTCAAGCCCATTTTTCTGTTATCAGCCCCATATTTATTTTTCCTTCCCTTTTATTTATTTATTTTTGGAGATAGTTTCCTCTCTATGTGACCTTGGTTGTCCTAGAACTCACTATGTAGACAGGCAGGCCTTGAACTCACAGATCTGCCTGCCTCTGTCTCCCAAGAGCTGGAATCAAAGGCATGAGCCACCACACATGATAGCACTGTATTTAATCTTGACAGGGATATCTGGGTTGCCCATGGGAAAAGTCAGTAAAGTGGTTTTGGGGTGTTTTGTTTTTTTGAGACAAAGTTTCTCTGTATAACAGCCCTGACTGTCCTGGATCTTGCTCTGTAGAGCAGGCTGGCATCAAACTCACTGAGATCCATCTGCCTGCTGTCTCTGCCTCCCTGGCTGGGATTAAAGGCATGTGCCACCACTGCTTAGTTCAGCACAGTGATTTTTTAATGTGAAGTTTGGATAGTTTTCAAAAACCCTCTGGGGAGTTCCTCGCTGCTGGAAAGGCACAGCTGGACATAGTGATGCTTCCTTTGTAATCCTGGATGCGGAGTTGGCCTGGGGCGAGTGGAGCAGGGACAGGAAGCTCAGGAGTGGTGACAGGGACTTGCCTTTGGGCAGCTGCACTGCATGCTTTGCATCCTGGTTTATAGTTCTCTCCTCTTCCTTTAGCAGGTGAACCAGGATGTGAGCCGGCAGCTGCTGCAGGATGGATATCACCTGGATGAAATTCCAGATGACGAGGACCTGGACCTCATTCCCCCTAAGCCTATTGCCTCTTCCTCATGTTCTTGCTGCTGGTGCTGTCTCGGGGATTCTTCCTGTACCCTCCAGTAGCCATAACCCTCCAGGATGGGCCCTGCTTATCATGAGGCCTACAGAGCCCTGATGGCCTCTCACAGCTCAGTGCACTGGGCACTGCCGCCAGCCTAGAATCACTGGAGGCACCAACCTTTTGGGCAGGCCACTGACCTACAGGCAAGCCCTCACCTAGTGCTTCTCCTGTCAGAAGCCCCCGTCTGGGTCATAGGCTACAGGTGAAAGTCTACAGTTCTCTGTTGGGCAGTTTCAGGAAGCCACGTCAGTAAGGGCAGGAGTAGAGACTTTCTGTGTTTCTTAGGCTGCTGACAAAGATTGCCATGTGCAGATGCTCTGACTGGTGTTTGTCGGGTATTCTGAGGAAAGAAAGAGCTCCCCTGCCCAGGCTCTGGTGGGTGGTGTGGTGGAGGCAGAAAACAGCACTTTATGGCCTGCAGTAGAAATCTGAGAGAATATAACTGAGACCAAGTCAGGAAATTCTGTTTTTCTTGCTCCAGCTCTAAGGTCAGTTAACAGGTTTGACCTTCAAGAAAACACTAAGTAGGCTGTAACTTCAGGTTACATCTGTCTAGTTACGGCAAGGAATATAGCTTAATGATGATGTAGGATTGTGGCTTTCTGAACCTCTGAACTTGGAACATTCTACTGGTCCTGCTGCCTGAATGTTTAACTGGTCAGCCCTTCCTGGTTAAAAGGAAACTGCTCTGTATATGTTCATTTATCTGTAGTTCCTTGATTAGTTTTTCTACCTGTTTTGTTTTTGTTTTGTTTTGTTTTGTTTGAGTTATTAGTTGGATTGGCTCCTGTGGCTGGCACCAGAAACCTGCAGTTTTGTAATTACCAGCAGAGGGAGCTGCTGGGCAGTAAGTGCCTTCCTGGGTTTAGCTTTTTAAACTTTTGAGTGAGAGTAATGTCCTGGTGTAGCTATGTGGCTTTGGCCTACATGGAAATGTTTAGACAGGATGGGGAGGAGACCTAAGCCAGCTCCTGGACCTCACTTGAGATAGATAAATTTGCAGTGCAAGGGGGCTTCCCTCTTCTAATAAGGTTTATTCCTATGGCACATTCCTCTGCCCCAGCACAGGCTCACAGGCTGGAGCAACAGCTCTAGCAGAGCATTGCCTAGCATGTGCAATGTCTGGGTTCAATTCCCACACTGGGAGGTGAGGGCACGGAGCAAAGCAAACCTGTGGGTGAGCATAGCCAACACAGGGATAATTTCTCTTGCAATACCAAGTCTCTTTCTGGACCCTAGTTTTCCAGGACCCTCTTCCCCACCTTTTACCTTAACCCAGGTGTGTGGTGAGACTTGGAGTGGACAGGGTTCCCAGCACAAAGGGCACAATAGTCAGAATTAGGGGTTGGGCACACGTGTGACTGTCATGTCCAGTGGCTACTAGAGGTTTATAAGGAATGATGGGCCCTTATGGCCGTTCTGCAAGTGGTAGCAGAAAGGATAACATCAAAAGAGAAGGCCTTCCCTGTTACTTGGCCACAAGCCTGTCCTTGTGATAGCCTGCTAGTACCTGACAGGCTTTTCTTCTCAGGCCACAGAAGATTGAAGAGTATGCATGTCTGGGCACTTTTTACTCAACTGTCTAGCAGCATCCCAAGAGGGAGGATGGGGCGGAAACTAGAGGCGATCTGCTTGGCTCTTGGGACTGGGTTATAGTTGCTGCTTGTGTTCTGCAGTGGGATTCTGCAACTCAACACAGGCATCTCACATTCTGAGCACCTTATGTAAAGCCTGCAGGGAGGGAACACAGACCGTATCGAGGCCTTCGATAACTCTGCAGAAATGAAGCACTTGTGGAAAGGGAATAGATGTAATACAGTGGAGACAAAGACTTGATGGTATGGCTGTGAGGGCTAGAAGTGGTTGTGGAACGTAGATGTGGAGCCCTATTTCTATTGGAATTTGGTTAAGACAGAGTAGTTTGGGCATTTGGCAACCCCCAAACCACACCCTCTGGGGTAGTTACTGCTGTGATCAACATTGAGATGCTTGGCTGGAATAGCCCCTGGAAGGGAAATTCTAGAGCTGGGTGGTCTAGTATGGGAAAGCATTACTTTGTGGCAAAAGCTCAGGGATGTGTTGCAAGTGATAATGTCCAGTTGGGAGGGGTAGAAATGGTCAGTTGTTAGGGACTAGACGAAAGTAATACCAATAAAGGCACACTGATGCCCAGATTCTAGCCGCCTTGATTCAGAGTGCTGGGTGTTCTGCAGGAGGCAGTCCTGGAAAGGAATGAATGCATCCGAGGAGTGGTTCCATCTGATGTTTACAGACCACTGCTCTACAGACCTCTTGGCTTATACTTCTACAGCCTGTTATAATAAATGCAATCATGGCAGTTGGTCTACATTGTGTTGCATTGGGTTTTTTTTGGGGGGGGAGGGACTTTTTGAGATAGGTTTGTCTGTATAGCCCTAGCTATCCTGGAACTCACATGGGAGCTGGGAACCAAACCTGGGTTCTCTGTAAGTACTTTTAACTGCTGAGTCATCTCTCTAGCCCCCAATATATAACACTAGCCTGAGCTAAATGAGAACCTCAGAAATTCCTTAAAAGGGACTAGGGGTAGCTAGCTCAGTTGATAAAGAGATTACTGTGCAGACATGAGAACCTGTGTTCGAATCCCTAACCTCTCTACCACAAGCACCCAAATAAGAAGCCAAAGGTGATAGTGGCACATAACTGTAATCCCAGTTCTGGGGAGGCTGAGCTACGAGGCTCACTGAGGCTTTCTAGCCAGTCAGCCTAGCTGAACTAGTGGGTTCCAGTGAGAAACTCTTTGTCTCAAAAAAAAAAAAAACAAAACAAAAAGGAAAAAAGGTGGCTGGCTCTTGAGGAATAACATTGAGCTACATGTGCACATACATAAACATGTGCAAACACCAGATGCCATATACAGCTGAGACAGAAGCACAACTTCAGAACCAACCTTTGGAACATGGCAAGATAGTCTCCGAACAGGTATACTAGAAGCGCGGCCACGGCCTGCCTGCAAGCTGTGCAGCTGAGGCGAGGCTGGCTTCCTCTCCTACTCCTTCCTATAAAAGGGTTCTGGAATCCAGCCTGCCCACCCCCAGGAAGTTGTATGAAGCAGAATTAAAACCCAAATTGGACAACAGAGAACTCTTTCCGCCCACATCAGGGGCAGGAATACCAAAGTCTGACTGCTCTTTAGTCTGTATCTGCAACACAAGCAATCTTTAATTACTTTGACAGAGCTGGAGGGAATAAAACCCTTAGTCTGCTGGCCTGCCCCTTCCCCTCTCCGCAGCTGAGAGAGCAGGCAGTCCCAGGGCAAGCCTGTTGTTCAGACATCACCTCACCTGTCACTCGGATGCTCACCTGATGCTGGGTCATGCATGTTTTTGTTAGCCTAATGCCTTAGCTGGGGCACAGCTGTTGCCTCCTGAATGGACACATCTGGCTCAGAGGTAGTAAGGAGTGTCGTACCATGGAGTGGCAGGTCTGTCTTCACACAGACCCCTCATCCTGAAGATGGTCCAACCTGGTCATGTTCTGGAGTCACTGATGCCACGCTCACTACTCTACCATTCCAGCATGCATCAAAGAGTACACAACAGGGACAGGGGTTGGAGCTGGCCAGGATATGGTGACAGGCAGAGAGGGTAGGAAGACTGTTCTCTACAACAGGCAGCAGGCCCGGAATATGAGCAGATCCTTGGGCACGGCAAGTTTCAACGAGACACTTTCATTGGCCCCAATGAAGAGCACTCCACCACGCTGCAAAGGGATTTCTGCTTGAACTGTGGGTGTGGTAGCTGTCACTGTCCCTTGGACCATGAGAAGGATGCTTGCAGAGTCTAGTGCCAAGACCTTGTATTCAGTGACAGTGCCAGGGACCTGGTAGAAAGAAGTGACAGGAGAGTTTACACCCTGCCCCTGGGTTCCAAAGCACCTCAAGGGCGGCTCTTGGCACCATGGAGACCCACATCTGGTCCCTGGCAGAGAAGTAGATGACCTCTGTGGCTGCCCATACTAGGTAGCTTGACAGGAAATCCAGCCCCAGGTATACCCCTGTAGGTTTGACATGCTACACAAAGGATACCCACCTGGCCCATGGACTCACCTCCATCTTCATAACAGTGAAGTCCGGCACAGGGGGGTCATAGATAGAGAGATAGGGGTCATCTTGACTCCGTGTTGGGGCAAACAGCCTGTCCTTGCTGGGGCTAGGTGTGTAGTTGAGCATTTCACACAGGGTTGGCACGTCAATGAATTTGGGCGTCAGGCCAGCACGCACAGTATTGTCTGAACATGCCATGCATTCCACACAGTCTGAGGACAGATAAATGTCATGTGCTAAGATGGGCTCTCCAGGGCTGGGCCTCCTAACTTAGGCCATATGCATGCCCTATAAATTAGGTAAAAATGTGTGAAGAGAATTGTAGGAGAATATGATGAAGGTAATAGGCATCAATTATGTTAACCCCTATGTTAACATGACTTCTCTTACACTTCTGCAACAGAATCCTGTGAGTGGATAAGCTGTCAACAGTCAGATGGGACACCAGTTAGACCTGGTGGCTCATGCCTATGACAGCACTCACAAGGCTGAATGAAGTAGAAGGGCTGCCACGAGTTTGAGGCCAGCCTCGGCTACAGAGTGAGACCCTGTCTCAAAACAAGAGCAACAAAGAGGGTGGTCAAAGTGGGTAAAACCACTTGCCGTGCAAACATGAGGACCTGAGTTCAAATGCCAAAGCCACATATTAAAACTGGTGTGTAGTATGGGGCTGGAGAGATGGTTCAGTGGTTAAGAGCACTGACTGCTCTTCCAGAGGTCCTGAGTTCAATTCCCGGCAACTGCATGGTGGCTCACACCATCTATGGTGTGATCTAATGCCCTCTTCTGGAATAAAGGCAAACATTCAGATAGAGCACTCGTATACATAAAATAAATAAATAAAATCTTAAAAAAAAAAAAAAAAGAAACGGTGTGTAGAGCTGGGCGGTGGTGGCACACACCCTTAACCCCAGCACTCAGGAGGCAGAGGCAGAAGAATCTCTATGAGTTCGAGGCCAGATTGGTCTATAAGAGCTAGTTCCAGGACAGGCTTCAAAGCTACAGAGAAACCCTGTTTGGAAAAATAAAATAAACCAAACAAACAAACAAAAAGTGTAGTACAAATACTTGTATCCCAGCATTTCTATGGGGAGATAGGAAAATTCTCCAAAGTTCACAAGCAAGCTGGATTAGAGTGAGAGTGTGGCAGAAAAAAAAAAATGTAAAAAGGCCCTCAAACAAAATAGGATAAAGATCAGCTGTAGCCCCCAGGTTGCCCTCTGACCTCCACACGTGTCCTCTGGTACACGGGCGCCTGCACTCACACACATGTGACATCCTCTGTCGCATCACCCATCACCCATCATGAGTGTGAAAATCTCCAGGCAGATAGAGTTGGTGTGCAAACACGAGTGAGAGGACAGAGAACAGCAGCTTTGTCTAGTGTGGCTTGGCTCAAGCTGATTTCCACACTCGTCAAAGGGACTTAACATCAGAACCTGTGGCTGGAAGCACATTTTAAGCTATGTCTACCACCCGGCTGGCAGCCACCATCCATACTGGCTCGACCACCCTCCAGGGTCAGAAGCTGGCCTGTGCTTACAGAAGGCCTCACCAACCATCCTCTCTTTCATCCACATAAAGAAACAAGGTCCACAGGGGATGGCAGCGGAGCATACGACTGAAATGGGGCTCACCTCCCTTCAGGTAGGCATGGGGCACATTGGCCTCCAGAAACATGGCTTCCCCTGGCTTCAAGTTGAGCAGGTTCAGGAAGTAAATGGCAAAACATCCGATATCACCTGGGTACTGCTGGTGCAGCTGCAGCAAGAGCGTCCCACAGATGTCGTCCATGCTGTTTCCGGCAGATACTGAGGGTCACAGAGCATCCCAAGGCCACTAAGACACACGTTTAGTCACGGCTTCACCCTAATGAGGGAGTCTCAGGAACAGTCCCTGCCCCGGGCCTCTCCTAAACATCCCTCATCTTTGATATTCAGTCATCCTTGGTCTTTCTGCTCACAAAAATGCCATCTCTCGCCTCAACCAACTGCATGCCTGGCCTGGCTACAGCACCTGGGTGGGCATTGTGGAGCACAGTCATCGTCCTAGCACCAAAGCAGAAGAATCACCATGAGTGAAGGGTAGTCTGGGCCTTCACTAATGCAGCCTGGAATGCAGAATCTGACCCTGTCTCACATGGTACAAGCTAGGGACACAACTCAGTTGGTACAGTGCTTGCCTACCCAGCATACATGAAACCCTAGGCTTGGACCTGGCTCCACAAGAACACAGGCATCATAACAAGTGCCTGTAATCCCAGCACCCACCTGAGAAGTAGGAGCAGGAGTGTCAGAGTGTAGCTATCTAATGAGTCTGAGGCTGGCTTTGGTTATAAGAAACCTTGTTTCAAAGAGAGGTGGGAGATAAAGTTGTATGAGAAATACTGAAAATGCAGATACCACTAGTAGCTCCAGTTCAGATTTTGATAAAAACATCTCCAGACAATTGCCCCCTCAAAAGGTCTCCTGGTTAGGGACCACTCACTGCTCTTGAGCTCAAAATCTATTTTAGATCAAAGGATAACCCCGAAGCTTCATGAAGAGTGACAAATTCCCTATTGGCCAAGGACTTCCCCTTTGTTAGCACTGGAAGTCCCATGTCTCAGGAAATCTGCCCATCTTAGGCAAACTGGGATGGTTGTGCCGCAGAGCACAATGCACAATGTCCTGCGGGCCAAAATGTACCCTGGAGACTGACCAAGGGAAGATGAGCTGAGCCTGGGCTACAAACATGAGGGAGGTTTTTGGATTGGCAGGTGCAGGTGCAGGTGCAGGGTGAGCTGAGTTTCCTCAGCATGCAAAGGGGCGAGGAGTGTATTCAGGGTGCGCAGGACCCACAATAAAGGAAGCAGGGTTCCGAGGGGGAGGGTGGCTTGCTCAATGGCTGCTCTTCTGAACACTGGGGCAAACATGAGGGTCTCTGGCCTAGAGAACCCAGTTTGAACAGATGAGCACATGATGCTAAGGGGTCACTGAATACCTGGGTGTCAGAAGAGAGGTCAGGTCAGGGTTCTCCAAGAGCACGTGAGCAGATCAGACCCCCAAAACCACAACACAAAACTAGAGGCTATGCTCAGGGAAGCTCTGGCTGCTGCGCAAAGGTAACACAGCAGGGACTTAGGGAAAGTCTGAAACAGAAGCAGATCCTGCGGCGGCCTGGAAAAGGAGCTGGCCTATCAGAAGAGGAGCTAGGACCTCAACAAGTGCCAGGGACTGACCCTCCTGACTCTATCAGCCTGGCTGCTTTCTCTTTGTCTGTTGACTCCTCAGGCCAACAGTGACAAAACCACACCCACCATGGTCATTTCCTGAACTCTGTTAGCACAAGGAGGGCTTTAAGGAAGAATTAATCATTAAAAGTACAAAGCTTAAGTCCTCTAGAACAGAGTGAGCTCCGTGGTCCTTTCCTGTTCCCAGTCCCCCAAATACCAGTCTGTCCCATAGGAAACAGCTGGAGGGCTGGAAAGAATCTGGTAGTGCCTGGGTAGAGGGCATTGGTAGAATCCGCTAGGCCAGTGCACTTTCAGCCACCTGGAGACAAGCAGTTAGAAGGCAGCTCTCAACCTGGGGCCTCACTCCACAAAGGCTGGGAAAGGAATGGTAGCAGCTGATCTTAGCGCCTGTCTAAGTTTGGCCCCTTTTAGGTTCCACTTGGGGAATGGGGCTGGGAACCCTGTATCCATAGCCTATCTAGGCCTCTCTCAGGAGTCTGAGGTAGGACCCTGCACCCACCCAGGCCTCTGCCACACCCACCTTGCTGGGAGATGCGCTTCACCAACAGGTTAAGCTGCTCCACCACCACCTTCTTCTCACTCTTCATCAGGTGGGAGAAGCAATTCTTCAGAGCAGAGGCCACAGCCCCGGGATCTCCGCTCATGCTCTGCTTCAGCTGTGCTGTGGCCTCCTCTCCAATCAGGGACTGGAACTCAGGCACCTCTGCACGGTGGCCAGGCCAAGGGGATGTAAGAGAAATGATAAGACAAAACACTGAGAAGTGAAGGCCCCACCGCATCCCTAACCAAAGCCCCCGCGACGCTACAGAAACCCTGCCTTGGAAGTGTGTGTCCACCCCAGCCCTCAGCAACCACACCTGAGCCTGCTCTCACTATTTAGCCCACTGCCCCCCAAAACTGCCTCATGAGGCCAAAATCCATTTAGCTCCTATGATAACAAGCCTGCGCTCTCTGACTGTTTCTCTTTTGGCCCAGGTTCCTCATGCATCCCAGAGTCAGTACATATATCCTCAGCATTCCTGCCCAGCCTTACTCTTCAGGAAGGTCACAATCTCCTCCACTGGCCGGAAACCACACAAGCCCTGGAAGGAGGTGAGGGCAATGGCCATTTCGGGCTTGTGGTTGTTATCAGGGTAGTGCTGTGGAGCCTGGAGGTGCAGCTTCTCTGCCAGCTCCTGCGGGTGGGAAGTGGAGGAGGACAATTAGGGGACAGCTTTCATCAGGATTACTGGTCTCTGCGGCCCCTGCTGCCAGATGGCAGTGGCTTCTTACCTCTGACAATGAACCCAGTCAAGGCGCCATGCAGAAACTAGGGGTTCAGTCAACCCAGGGTAGAGAAATGGGCCAAACAAATCCAGGGGAGAGCTGGGATAGACTCACGAGACCGGCCTGTGGCTCAGGAACTCCAAACAACAGGCGTGAACTGTGTGACTTGGGTAAATGATTTTTGGAGAGGCAGAGCTAGGAGTGTCTAGAGTGTTAGGTCACCCTCAGTTGCACGCTGAGCTTGAGGCCAGCTGGGGCTTCACAAGACCCATCTTTAAAAACTCCAAAATTAGGGGCTGGAGAGATGGCTCAGTAGTTAAGAGAGCTTGGTGCTCTTGCAGAGGACTCAGGTTCCTTTCCATTTCCTATACAGTGGTTCACAACCATTTGTATCTCCAGTTCCAGGGCATCTGATGCCCTCTTACTTCCAAAGGCACCAAGCATGCATGTGATGTACATGCATACATGGAGGCAAACACTCATATACATGAAATAAAATAATTCTTTAAAAATTAAAAAAAAAGTCAGGCAGTGGTGGCACACACCTTTAGTCCCAGCACTCGGGAGGCAGAGCCAGGAGGACCTCTGAGTTTGAGGCCAGCCCAGTCTACAGAGAGAGATCCAGGATAGCCAGGGCTACACATAAAAACCCTATTTCAAAACACAGACAAAAAAAAAAAGTTTTTTGTTTTTTAAAAAGGGGTTGTGTTGGAGCTTTAGCTCAGTGGTTAAGGGTACTGGTTGCTCTTCCAGAAGACCTGGGTTCAATTCTCAATACCCACATGGTAGTTAATGAATATCTATAACTTCAATCTCAGAGGACCCAATGCCCTCTTCTGGTCTCCCTGCACACTATATCCATGTAGTACACAGGCCTACATGCAGGCAAAACACTCATACACATAAAATAAAAATAAATAAGTATTAAACATTTTTTAAGAGTTTAGACAGATTGCTCAAACTAGGTTGGATAGGTTGGGTCTTGTTTTAAGAAAATTACACAGCAGGGTGTAGCTGAAGCAACAGCTGGGGTGCCTGCCCGTCCTGGAATTCTAGTATTGAACTCTCCAAGACAGCCAGGTGGGGAAATGGCAAATATGAACAGACCTAGGCGAAGGGCAAGCCAAGGATGAACTTGGAGGAGCTCTCTTGGCACAGGTCAGTCAGCTGTCCACTTAGACATAGCTTCTGTATGTGTCACCAGCATCTGCCCCTGAGCAGCCAAACTGGATTAGTAAGGCCCTGAGCTAGAGCCTAGTACGGGCAGGGTGAACGCAGCAGTAAAATCTATGGGTATGCCCACCAAAACCCTCCCCTCCCCCGACATCTACACCCTTTCTCCTCTACCTTGTTAGGATGTGCCTGGATAGACAGGGCTGTTTCCACCGAGAGCACTTTGAAGAGGAAGGGCAGCGTGCCATTAAAGGTGTCTTTAACCTTTGGGCCTAAGCAGTCCTGGTTGTCAGCAATCCATTGGCCTAATGTCTTCTGGGAAATACGGTTGTCAAGGATCCTGGCATCTCCCCGGGGGTGTGTCCCCATCCACAACTAGAAGGACAGGAAAGGTGAGAAAGAAGGAAGCAGCTGACACCCCTGTATGTACGAGGCATGTATCAGTACACTGGTTCATAGGTACTGGGGATCAAACCCAGGGCCTCACATATAGAAAGTATGGACTCTGCCACTGTCTCTCCAATGGGGAGAGTGGCCCTTGAATGTCTCTGAAGGCATGAGTCTCAATGGCAGCTCTGTGGAGGGTTAACATTCACTTATTTCAGTCTCAAAAGGCAAAACTCCCCTATGCTTTGATCCTTCCCTTCTCAATAGAAGGAATGGATTTAAAGTTAATAAAAATGAAAAAATTAGGAAGGTGGAGAAATGGCTCAATGGTTAAGAGATCTTGCTGCTCTTCTAAAGCACCTACTCATGGGTTTCCAGAACCCACATCAAATAGGGCTCACAACCTCCTATAACTCCAGCTCCAGGGGATCCAATGTTCTTGACCTCAATAGGCACCTACACTTACACACGCATACCCACATGCAGACATACACACCTATACATAGTTAAAAATAATAAAAATAACTTTTTATAAAAATAAAAGAGAAAAGTTAATCAAAGTTAAGCATTTATTTTTGGCTAGGAGTGGTGTTTTATGTCTATAATCCTGACACTTAGGATGTAGAGGCAGGGAGATTGAGAATTCGAAGTCATTCTCAACTCCACAGCAAGTTTGAAGTCAGCTTAGGCACCCTGAGACAGTCTCCAAATTAAAAAAAAAAAAAAATCAAAACAAATGAAAAGATTCAGTACATGCTGAGAGCTGTTCTGGAATGAAGGGTAGCACTAAGGTGCAAAAAATTCCAGATGCTGGGCATGGTGGTGCATGCCTTTATTTAGTCCCAGCACTAGGGAGGCAAAGGCAGGCGATCTTAAGTTCAAGGCCAGCTTAGTCTACAGAGTGCTTTCCAGGACAGCCAGGACTACATAGAGAAACCCTGTCTCAATAAAAAAAAAAAAAAAATCACAGTTGTCTTATCTCCCTTTGTATGAGACTGAGAATTGATACAGAGACCAGGCAGATCCTCCTGCCTCAGCTCCCAGTTCTGTGATTACTGTGCTCTCAGGTCTCTTTATATACTCACTGGTCCGACCGAGCACCAAGAGAATATCTTCTACGGGCTGCAGAGATTCTTCCCAACTGATCGATATGGCTTGTCTCAGGCCCTTGGGTCTCACTTAGGGTAGAGCGGACTGACGTGCATGCAGCTGGGGTCTTACCTCTGCATAAGGCTTGTCCTCTGAGATCTGGGCCAGTGGGTCACTGCTAGCCAGCAGGCATGCCACTTCGCTGTTGGAGCCCATCTTCCCCCAGGCATACTGCTGCACCACACAGGAAAGTGGAAACACTAGAGACACAGACAGAAAGGTCAGCTTCCGCTCTACTCTTCAGACCTGACCCTAGGAAACCAGGAACGGGAAGGGGATTTTAACTGAGGGCAAAGCCACACAAGAGTCTTTGAGTTGTGGGATGACACCCCTCTCTTCTGCAGTTCTCGATGTTCCCATCTGTAAGACGGGCAGATACGGATCTTGTCTGCCATGGGGAAGAATTGAGTTCAGTTGATGGGAAGGGAAAAGGAACTAACTACTCATCTCTGCACTCAGTCGGTCCCGGTGTGATCCAAAGCACCCAGGGACACTAGTCTCTTCGACCCCCGGTTGCAATCCCCACTCCAGATCCCTTCTTCTGCCCGGCATCCACGGGAATGGTCGCGACCTGCCAGGTCCTGACAGGATTAGTCCCCAGGACGCGACCACCACCAAGGTAATCAGCGCCCTGCAACGGCTCACCTCGCTGACTCGCCATCCTAGCAGCCGGAGACCCGGCTTCAGGCACGTAAGCCCTTCCCAGCAGCCTCCGCTGCTCTGCGCGCAGAGCTTCACGGGAAATGTAGTTCACAGAGTCCACCACCTCCTTCTGCAGTCAGGATCCCCTGTTGCCCAAAAGTATTGTTCCTAATCCTTGGTCCGAACGTTCCTGTCTTCCAACTCCTTTTATCTGTACGAAAGTACTGAGAACTCGCTAAGTATCACAGATTGTTCCAAGTATACACCAGAGAAAGATAACACTACTTTTGTGCTTTTTCAGGGTTTCTAGTCTAGAGAACGGAAGTAATTAAATAAATTTTAATAGTGTGTCTAAAGGCAATAAGTAACCAAACATAGTAGCACACCCCTTTAATTCCAGTACTTGGGTAGCTGAGGCAGGAGGATTGTCTTGAGTTCGGGATCAGCCTGAGGCACATGGTGAGACCCTATCAGAAACAGGTCATCTGGGTAAACCCTAATAAGAAGGAGAGATTTTAGGAAAAGTGAAGAGTGTCCCTGGCAGAAAAAAGAACTAGTAAGATCCCCTAGTGCTGGAACTTGTGCCTACATTTGACACAATAGCAAAGAGGTCAACATGCAGGACAAAGGGACGGACACACACACACTGAAGGGAAAGGAGTCAGCAAAATGGAAAGGCGATGAGTAGGGGTTCATATGTTATCATGAGCGCTCATGTTTTCCTCTGAGTCCCCAGTGGTTAGAAGGTTATTGGTGACAAAACTATGAAGATGATGGGGATGAAGATGTCTCTTGCACACCCTTCACTCCTCCAGACTTCCATTTTTTTACTCTGTAGAATGAGGCTAGGAAGAGAGATCTGCAGCTTTATCAGAGGAGATCGTAAAGCAGTCAGTGCTCTGTGTTCCACTGATCCTCCCGTCCTAGGTGTCTCCAGAACCCAGCCCTGCTTCAGTCTGAGGTGCCCATAAGCTTTGACAGGAGGGGAAGGCACCAGGAACCCTGCACAGGGGAGGCTGGGGATGGACTTCTGCTGTGGAGTCGCCTTGTCATACCCTCTGTAGAAAGTCTCTGACATCCAAACCTCCTTAGCGCCTAGCAGGAGAGCAGGCAGCTGGAGACCCAGAATCACAGCTGTCAAAGCTCCTGGGAACATGTGAGAGGGGTTACAGACCTGGGAGGGCTCTCAAACAGTCCCAAGCATTGCAAACATGGCACTGGCAGGTCTTGCCCACTCCCTTGCTAAATCATTGCATGACATTCCTAAAGCTAGCATCCAAGATCCACTTCCTTATCCCTAACTCATTCCTGAGACTGACCACCAAGTCCCAACTTTCAAAACATCAAGGTCCAGCAACCAAAATTCATTATTTGGCCACACTGACTATCATGTCCAATCAGGACTTACCAACTTACCCTAGCACGGACTTTTCCTTTTTCTCCTTAAAAACCACTCCTGCAGAGAAACCTTCTGCTCTTGGCCTGATCCAGAGGGAGCCCCCTGGTTGTCCACTCCACAAATAAATCTCTTTGTGCTGAGAGTTTGGTGTCTGGGTGTGTTCTGTGCCAGCTCTGAGACCCCTCAGACCTGACTCTACCTTATACACATGGGATGGGGGAGCTGATTTGCACACTTTCTACCACATATGTCCAAGGAAAGGGGAGCAGTTTCTCAAACTTTCTTTCCTGGGTGTGGCTATCAACCCCTCTTGCTTATATAAATCAAACCATATTTCAAAGGAAGCTTTCTCACATACTAATTAGTAAAATGGAAAGCATAAACATCATGTGCTTGGCAGCTCAATGCCTCCTACTTGGAGCACTGTCTCCTTCCCTCACCCCTATTCTCCAAGCCATACCTACTTGCTGGGCTAAGAATCAGAACAGGAGTGGGGCATGGTTAGCAGTTAGGAGGCAAAGGCAGGCAGATCTCTATGAATTCCAAGCTAGCTTGGGCTACATAATGAGACTGTCTCAAAAGAGTCAGAGAAAGAGTTAGACACAGGGATAGAGAGACGGTTCCACAGTAATAACACTGCTCTTGCAGAGAACCCAGGCTCTGTTCTCAGCACCCACATGGCAGCTCATAACAGACTGTTACTCCAGTTCCAGGGGTTCTGACACCTTCTGGCCTCCACAGGACCAGACACACACATGGTGCACAGACACACATGCAGGCAAACCAGTAGCATATAGAATTTTTAAAAAAGAATTAGACGCAGGAGTTCAAGAGGCACTTCCATTATCACTGCCAGAGAAACCAGAATCAGAATCACTTCCACTGAGCATCATTTGCAGAAGAAAGAAAAAAATGTGACTGTTGAGACAGAATGCCCCCCGTCCCATGCTATCCACCCACAACACAGGAAAATGATCTATAAGGGAAACCGGAGTGCCTGGAGAACCCAGAGTCTCCCACCACTCCTCTTGCTGGTCTGACTCTTGAAGGACAGTGTTTACTGTGCTATCCAGGGATATTCTCTCTCTCTCTCTCTCTTCTCTCTCTCTCTCTCTCTCTCTCTCTCTTTCTCTCTCTCTCTCTCTTTCTCCCTCCCTCTCTCCCTCCCTCCCTCCCTCCCTGCTACCATGTCTAACTTGGCTTCACATCTCTTTGTAGGGTTTTTGTTGTTGTTTATTTTGAGACATATGTAGCTCTGGCTGGCCTAGAGTTCAGAGATCCACCTGCATCTGCCTCCTGGGTGCTGGGATTAAAGATGTGCGCCACCACACTCGGCTCTGCTTCACCTTCCTGCCAGTGCTTGCTGAGAGTTCAAACTGAGACAGCAGCTGCTCTCATTCTTGTTAAGCTACATACTGTTTAAACCCTTTCCAAGAATTCTCCTTTTATAATTGAGATATTGTAGCCAATAAATCTTTTAGTTTCACTCGCTTTAAACTTTTTAAACTTTTTTTTGTTTGTTTTTCGTTTTTCGAGACAGAGTTTTTCTGTGTAGCTTTTGTAGCCTGTCCTGCAACTAGCTTTGTAGACCAGGCTGGCGTCAAACTCACAGAGATCCACCTGCCTCTGTCGCATGAGTACTGGGTCTAAGGGTGTGCACCACCACCGCCCAGCTAAACTTCTTTTTATTATGTGTGAATTTGTGCCTGTGCATAAATATGTGCACATGAGTTTTGGTGTCCACAGGGGACCAAAGGTATCAGCTCTCCATAGAGCTGGAGTTACAGGCCGTTATAGGTTATCCAACATGAGTTCTCTTCAAGAGCAATACTTGCTTTCAATTAATGAACCATCTCTTCAGAATCTTCACTTGCTTTTAATTGACTTTAACAATCACTAATTTGAAGGTCTTGTTGGCCCAGAACTATAATCTTAACTCTGATGCAGGAGGATTGAAAGTTTAAGGCCACCCTGATATACATAAATTGAGTTCTAGGACCAACTGGGCTACAGTGAGACCTTATTTTGAGAGAAAGAGGAGTGGGGACTGGGGCTACAGCTCAGTGGCAGAACACTTGCCTCGCAACTTTAATGTCTTAGACAATGTCCTAGTATGTCAAGAAATTTAAATAACTAATTGGAGCTGGGTTTAGCAGTACATACCTGTAACAGTAGAAATCTGGAAGTAGAGGTGTTGGGGGTAGCCACCAGAGAAGACGGCTCAGACATGGCTATAAGCCAACAGAAAGTTTTTTGTAGTTGGTCAGCTGGTGTCTGACTACACTGGGTGTTTGGGATCTTAGTATAGCCCCAAGTCTTTCTCAGGGTGAGCTTTTAAGCACAAAAACCATGTTCTGGGTCGACACACTTCAGTTAACAAGAGCAGTTAGCTAGAAGCAGAACCACAGAAGCCAAAAAGCAAGATTAGCACATTTAGAGACTTTCCCAGAATGATGGCTTTGATAGATTAAGCCTTTGTCTTACTTTGGGCAGGTGGTGCCACCTATGTGCTGAGTTTTATAGCATGAATGGTACTTCTGTCACGGAGTTAGTTGTACTAAGGTCTGGGACCCTGATACAGAGGCAAGAGGATCAGGTATTCAAGATCATCTTTAGCCTAGATACTACTGGAGGCTGATTGGGCCTATATGATGGTGCATCTGAAAGAAAGAGAGAAAGAAAGAAAGAAAGAAAGAAAGAAAGAAAGAAAGAAAGAAAGAAAGAAAGAAAGAAGAAAGGAAGGAAGGAAGGAAAGAAGGAAAGAAAGAAAGAAAACAAAAGAAAAAATCCTAACTACTCAAGAATTCAAGGCTAGCCTAGGCAACTTAGTGAGACTCTTGTTTCAAAATAATTTTCTTTTTATCTCTTCCCCCGCCACCTCCTTCCTTCCTTCCTTCCTTCCTTCCTTCCTTCCTTCCTTCCTTCCTTC